AATCTGCAACTTAAAAATACTTTATATATAAAATTAAATACATAAAACTTTTTATTGGATAAATTCAAACTAAGAAGTATTTAAAAAAGTGTGGAAAAAAATGAGTGATTTGATTTACATGATAAAGGAGTTTAGCATTGGCTAAAGAACAGGCTCTCATCCCTCCAATCGTGGAGTTCCATTGCAGCACTTTTGTCAGAAGTGACTGAAATTTGGCTGAGTTACTTTGGTTGACTGCCTTCTAGATCAAACAAATGACTGTGGTTGCTGACTGAGGATAGAGTAATACAACCTTCAGAGAATAATTTTTCATCTGTAAATTAATTGTAAGGATGGAGAAAATGCCAAGGTTCTCTGTGGATTTCAAGCAAATTTTTGCAATCAAGCACATTAATGCTATTTCTTCGCTGCAAGTTGACGAATGTCTGGATGTTTCAGAAGGCATTAGTTAGTTTAACCAGTCAGACCTAGTGCTTGACTACTGGGAATTTGAGTTGGACAATCACAGCATACCTGAAACTGTTTTCACCACTAGAGATAGATTGTATGTATTTTATGCCATTTAGCCAGTGAAGTACACCTGCTACCTAAGAGGTTGATGGAGTTTACAATGAGTGAACTGCAATGGGAAAGTTGACTTATGTACTTGGATGACATTCTGGTATTTGTAAGATAATTTCAGTATTAAGAACCTGAGAATGGTGTTTCAGTAGGTAAAGAAGGAAGTATGTGAAGTTTCTCAGTCACAAAGATCATACTGTCGTCAAGAAGAAGTGCTCAGCTTTTTAAGCATCATACTATCAACATTTTGTGGCAAACATCTCAAAAACAACTTCAATGTTATCTGCTCTGAATAAGGGTGATGTAACTTTTAGATTGACTTGAGACTGTGGCAAAGTGTTTCATTTACTTGAATGTGCTTCAGTTGAGACACTGGTGTTTGCTTATCTTTGCAAGACTGTCCATTCATCCTGGTGTAATTTCAAGGTTGCAGGATAGCGCTAGTTACATGATGATGGCTCCTGAATAGTGGTAGTACAGGGCAAACAAAAAACTGCTCACAGTTGTGATATACATTAAACACTACTGATGCTACTTATTTCATAAACAGTTCAAAAGTCATGTGGACAATTCACCACATTCACCACTAAATGGCTTATGAACTTTAAAAACACATAAGATATAATTGCACGTTGATTTGCAATGCTGCAGGAGTATTGTTTTATTTCTCATCTTATCTGGAACAGCAATTCAAATGGATTTTCTAACAAAAGATATGCATTGTGGAGCTGTAAAAGTCATTGCAGCAGCAGTAATGACTAACCATGCAAGCAGCTATGACTTCACAAGTGAATTGCCTCTATCATTGTCAAATGAGGAGCAACTGAAGGATTCAGATCTAACTTGGCCAATACTTGTTTTGCAGAAAGGTCAAGAGTGACCCTTGCAAACTGAAGAATGTAGTATGGATGTGTGAGATCTTTGGCACTTTTACACATAGTTCAAGTACTATAACTTGTGCTGTACCACTGCTATCAGCTACAGAAACTTGGTGCATCATCTGTAACACAGCTAGTGGTCCTAATAGCTCCAAAACAAAATATGCAAAGAGATTTCTCAGATTGTGCTGTCAAGAAAAAAATCTGGACAAGCCAGAGTAAACTCTGTCAGATTTGCAGGTTATTTTTAACAGAAAGAAGACCTGAAAATAACTGATCTTCTGACATACTGTAATAATTGTAATTACTATATGTTGATGATTAAAGATTATTTCATCAAGTGGGCTGAAGCTTATTCATTTGTTGACACTTCAGTACAGTCTGACACTAACAAGTTACCACCATGTAAGTTGGGTTACATTAGAATATAATCAAAGCCAGTTGTAACCACCATGTACACAGTGGTAACTTATAATATCCACAAAGCTAGCGTTAACTGAAAAATGGTTAGTGCGAATTTGAGCATCTGAAGAAATCTCCTTGGATCAAGAAGGACACTTCAATAAACAGCTATTTTCAGAATTCTGCTAAGTACTGAGTGTGGTAAAGATAGGAACTTCATCACATCATCCTGAGTCTGATGGTTTGGCTGAATGGGTTACATAAACTGTCATGGATATGTTTTCAATGGTTGTGAAACTAGTTGTTATGAATACCTACCATGTGTGTTTGTAGCACGCAAGGCAATAGAAAAACTTTTAACTAGTGTTCCTAAAAGTTACTGATGTCTGGACATAAAATACAGCTCTCAGTAGATATAATGTATGGTGCACCTCACTGTGCAAATGATGATGTGTCAGTGTTCACAGGAGTATGTGAAACAGCTAAAAACTGATATTAGTTGATGCACATGAATTTGCATGTGAAGGATAGGTAAAATGGCTATACATTTAGAAGAGATGTGATGAAAAGACAGTAAAATAACACAGTTTGAGCTCATAATAAATACGAGAAGAAGGAGCAGATGGTAGAATGGTACAGGGGATCAGTTACAACATTGAACTCTGAACTACTATGAGTGGAATTGAATCACATCAGTTGTTAGAATTTACTTTTGCAAATATATCATACATAAGTTATGTCCCTTATTTCTCAATCTATTGAGTGAGTTCAATGTTAAAATATCTACTCAATTACAGTAAGTGAGATACCTGCAGGATTTGAGTGCTAAAAGAGTGTCATAATTTTTACTTTCTAAGCTAGGAAGTGAACTCTCATTACAAAACATGTATGGGATATTTTGTGTTAGCTATTTGACTACAGCAGATAGAATGGTTAAAATAACAATTCTTACTTTCGAGTTATATAATAGTGATGTGAAATTTTCTGCAGTGTAGACAACTCAAGAATAAGTAAAACAATAAATACGGTCCAGCCTACTTTTCGTTTTTCAATTTTAACCCTTTCAATACGGGTCACAGGTGAAAGACCATGTCATCTCATTTGTTGACTCACATTCAAAATTTTATTGAACTACTGTTTCATGAATTTATATCATTAAGTTTGGTACCAAACTGTAGATTATAATTCAAATTTTAGAACTATATATTACTCAATTTCTTAATTTAAAAGTAAATATTAAAAACACAGATAAACATCGATTTTTGTGTGTCACGTAGTATGGTGAATGCCGCACTGGTTCAAATTAGATGTTTGCGAAGTCAAAAAATGAAGTCTAGAGTTAATACAAATTATTGATATTGACAAGCTC